ATGGACTGGCACCCTGTCCAGGGTGTACCCCGCCTTGTGCCCGATGCTCCCTGGGATTGGCTCCAGGTTCCCAGTGACCCTGAAGAAGGAATAAGTGGTAGAAGATGGATAGATGGATGGATGGATGATAATAATAATAATAATAATAATAATAATAATAATAATAATAATAATAATAATAATAATAATATTGGTTGGGCTCGCAGGATTAGCGGGAAATGGATGTATGGATAGTAATAATATTGATAATAAAGACTAAAAAGTTTTAAAAATCTAAAAATCATATATTACATATTTGACAATTTTCCTTTCTGATCAATAAGGGATTTTCTCCAAAAGACAATTAAAAAACCTTTATATATTATGGTTAATATTTATGTCGCCTATTAACCATGGCATAGCAGCTTGATAGTTTATTCTGTGGTCTCACATGGTGAAAGATCTTTTTCCTGTTTAGAGTGAACTCATCACCACCGGTCAGGCGGTGTTTGAAATTTGAAAGTTCAGTTGATTGCTGTAACACATGCTTATTTTTTCCTTATGTGACTTTTGTGAAAACCCTCCTCATGTTTGGAAATGTTGACTGGCAGTGTATTGCAGAACACAGAGGCACCCAAGGGTAAATCAAAGAAGAGGTAGAGAAATCGAGGATATGAGAAAAGGGAAACTAGACAATTGTTAAACTATATGCTCCATACACAAGCTGCAATTGCACTGTGTTCTGTAACCTTTGTATCATAGCCAGCATTAACTTTTTAAGCAATTTGTGCTACAGTAGCTCTTCTGTGGGATTGGACCAGACTGGTTATCCTTCACTCCTCAAGCGCATCAGTGAGCCTTGGGTGCCAATGACCCTGTTGCTGTTTCACCGGTTGTCCTTCCTTGGACCACTTTTGGTATGTATTAACCACTGCAAACAGGGAACACCACACAATACCTGCTGCTTTAAAGATGCTCTGATCCTGTCATCTAGCCATCACAATCACACTTGCCCATTTTTCCTGCTTCCAACATATCAACTTCTCGAACTGAATGTTCACTTGCTGACTAATATGCCCCACCCCATGACAAGTGACATCGTAATGAGATAATCAGTGTTATTCACTTCATCTGTCAGTGGTTTTAAAGTTATGGCTGATTGGTGTATATATAAAGGTGCATATATACAGTATATCTATAAAAGTGTTACTTGGTCCTTGGGTTACTTGGCCAAAGAACTTCAAAATAATTGATGCTTCTAGCTGAGTTTATTATATTTATTAAATCCTAAGATTGTACATATGTTTAGAATACGTTATTTAATCTGTTCCCTGTACAGCGGAACCGTATAACTCCTGCTTACCTCATTGCCTTGTAGTTCATTTCCTGCACAGAGGGCAACAGGAAGGTGCTATTATGGCATATTGCATCAACAACCTACCATTCATGCTGTCCTTGTTCCAAAAAAAATAACAAGAATGATCATAAACAACTTTTCCATTATTGTTATAGGGGTTAATCTAACTGCAAATAATCTGAGAAAACCTTACACATGTCCAAATATTACTTAGTCTTTATGCATGTTATACTGAGATGTACAGTGTGAGATGTGTAATAACCAATTCTTCAGTTATGCGCATAGACTAGGTGAATGTCAAATGCTATCAGACAGATTCATGCAACTTTTACTTAAGATTAAGCTTTTAGGCAAATAAATGTCTCATCTTATAGATTCTGTCTACTCTGCAGTAGTGAGATCCACTTCTAGGCCCTGGATTTGAATTATATCATACATCATCTGTACTAAAGGGTTCATGAGGTCTTAGATATGGACGTTTTAACTAACCTTTCTAAAAGGGAAATGTTCTCAGGTCCACATAGATCATTCACGAGGGACAAACCCTTTAAGAGTCCTCTAGCAGCATTGCTTGTGATTACTGGTGACATTGGGCAAGCTAAATCACTGCTGATCACAGTGTACACCCTTTAAAAGCCTATCTTTTAATCTGCTCTCTCTCTCACTCCCTCTTTCTTCCTGTCTAGCTATATGTGCAATCCTGCTGCCTGATGTGATGGCAGTGCCAGATCCTGAAACACATCTACTACTGTGCCTCATCTCTCCTTCAGGATCTGATTGATTCATCCTGATGCTTTACTTCTGCTCGGATCTTTCTAGAAGTGTGACTCTACTGTGGACGCTCCCACATGGATATCCTGAAGCTTCTCAGTGTAAAAAACAAGACTCATCCTTTTGTCAGTGGATAATCTCAACTTGAACCTTTTAAGAACTTCTCTTGTAATCATAAAAACCTTCCTGTGCTCATCCCCGAAAGATGAGGTCCCTCAGAACCAAATATATTTTCAAACCTTACCACACAATAATACAAAACATGCAGGTTTGATTAATCACAAAAACCAGGTATAGTGAAGTTATAATTGTAGCTCAACACAAAACAAAGGAACTCAACCATCTTAATGTAGGCCATCAGTGTTAAAGGGATGACTTTGTTGATTGTATCTGTGTGTGCTTGCAAAAATCACTGCATGTATGTGTGCGTGTGTGTGTGTGTGTGTGGTTACACATGTGCATGGACCTGGACGAGGGTTTGTATGTGTTTTGGGTGTGAGTTTTTCTTTTTAGATGTACTGTAACAATATGATGTACAACCCTCCCCCCTTTACCCAGGGTGCCTTGCAAGGCCTGGTTTTCACCACATCAGGATACACAGTTGCTTGCTGAATTCCGGTGTGAAACGGAGCGCTGGTGCACCGCAATGTGTGTTTTATAGACACACATCCCTCTCCACACTGAGGTTCAGGTGCTCTTAACGGACATTCACTCACACATATGCACACACATGCAAACACACACATGGAAACACACACACACACACACACACACAACTCAGCATGGCGTTCTCGTCATTAGTATAAAAGACGGTGTATTTGTGCATTACTGTTTGTTTATTAATAATGAATGCCATGGCTACACCTAAACCCAACCCTAACCTTAACCTTAGTAACCAAAAGGAAACGTTTTGGCTATTTTAGATTTTTTAAATTAAGTGTTGTGGGCTTTGTGGAAATAAACAAACAAACATTAAAACAGTTTTCCTTGTCAGGACTGGACAAATATCCCACAAAACTGAAAACTGTCAGATAATCCTGTCCTTGTGGGGACATTTCCAAGATATCAAAATATAAAAACATTCTTCAAGTCAGTTACTTACGTATAAACATATTTGCCTCGCTTCATAATGTCATACAACACACTGATTCACACACAAACACACACAAAATCCTGGCTCTTTTGTGATATGACAAATGGATTAGGGAGGGGATGTGATGGTAGGAATATTTGACAATGAAAGAGCTAGAATCATATGAATGAGCTGGACCTGAATCACATGTTCCTCCACTGTTATTTCTAATCCCAAACTGCCATCTCCTGGACAAAGAAAGATTTTTTAAACCGTAACCTCTCCATCATGTTTCAGCCAATATCTCTGAAAAGGGACTGACTGAAAGCAGTTATATGACTAATAAGTTAATGCCACGATTTCTATAAATTGTTTTTGTAAACATTTAATCTTGTTCAGAGAGTTTAAATATTATTTTATCACTTGCCTAATGTGTTCATGTGTCTTTATGCATGTCCTTTTATAGCATCGCTTATGTGAATGTGTGTGCTATCAGCTTTAAGGGGATGTACTGGGTAACTGTCGCCCGTTCAGGGTTTCCGGACTGGGTGCCTGCAGACTGCCGGTTTCCCTCCATCTCTTATTCTATCTCTCACTCCATCACTCCTTCTATCTCTCTATCACACCAGCCAGGAACCAGGCACCCAGCCAGGATACTGTGGTGACAGTAGAGCAGGTTTCCGCTCTCAATACACAGCTATACAGTAAAGAGGACAGAGGAGTGATGACCTTTTTGTTGTCAGTCAACTTTGTTCAATTACACAGGACAAAAGATGATAAGAATAACATGAATAATGAACTCGGTGGACATTCCTAGTTTGAAATCCTTGATCAATTTAATTTTCTATGTTGTGAAGAATGGAAGTGATGCAGTGTTTTCAACCAACACATCTGTAGGTGTAAATTTCAACGGATTTCCCTGTAATGAGACATGAGACACTGGAAAAACCCATTGACTCAAAACTCATTGCTGATTAGGCCATGATATTAGTTTATAATTATTGGTATTTGGGCTACATTAAACTGGACTGTAACAATATTGTACTTAAAATGTCAATTGCATAATAACTGGTTCATTGAAATTACAGGATGACTATCACAGCATGAAATAAACAGATTACAGATTCTTACATATTAATTATAGATATAAATTATAGTATAATTTTATTGACCAGAATGTTGTTTTTATATAATATGTGTAAAGTACAAACACATATGAGATTATATATATATATATATATATATATATATATATATATATATATATATATATATATATATATATATATATATATATATATATATATATATATATATATATATATATATATATATATACATATACATACATATATATAAATTAATTTTAATCCTAAATATTAATTATACATTCAAAATTGAACCAGTTTATAGGTACCTCTGGATCTGGTACTTGACTTTTACTCAATATTGAAATTTACTGCATAATAATGGCTTACCAGCTATGTACTTGCATGTTGTGTGTCCAACTGATAGCAATGAAAGACACACAACATCACAAACATTCACAACAATTAAAGAGCCGTGACTGCATAATGAAATGAGAGAAATTTTGTTTTAAGTTTGTAAGAAAACAAACATTGATCCATTTTCTGTACTGCTTATTGCAAAGGATCAGGGGGAGTTTGAAACCTATCCCAGGGGACTTGGGGCACAAGGTGGGGGACAACCTGGATAGGTTATTAATTGCACATACAGCCAATCAGCCTACAACATGTCTTTGGGCTGTGGGTGTAAATCTGAGTACCCCCAAAGCATAAGGAGAACATGCAAGCTCTGCCTACACAGAGAAGGGAATCAAACCCACAACCTTAGAAGTGCGAGTCAAATGTGCTAACCACTAAACCACCATGCCCCTATAAAGCAAGTGTGAGTTAAATCATTGATTAAAGCTTCAAGTAGTACATGTCTAAGAATTTCTCTTTTGAGTTGTCAGACAATGCTAGTAGACTGCAATTCCGCATGACACTGAGATTGGTTTTATGATGTCTGTATCGTGTGGAGTTGTAATGACAGGATGTTGACTAAATGATGTGGCGATGGCTCAGTGAACTAGTGATCCAAAGTTGCAAGTCACTGTTGAACTCTCCATTGCTGGATAGTGTACTCTCAATCATAATTCCCTTTGGATAAAAATAGACCTTAAATGAATAAATATAAATGTAAGATCAAAGTATGTAATTACATGACCTGCAGCAAGAGAAGAATATGGATAGATTACATGACAGAACCACATAACAAGACAGAAATTTGCATGGGTTATATAACAATTTGATAATCAAGCTGGTTCTAGTAATTAGAATACAAGCAAAAGCTCTAGAAGTAGATCTCTTTTTCTGAGTAGAATAGCAGCATCAGAAGACTGGAAGATTTCTGGTTAATCTGCTAAAGATAAAGTTCTACTGTTCTGTGATGACCATAAAAAGATGATTTCAACCTTATTGAGATCTCAAGGTTTTTTCCAAATGTTTGTTGGGAGTTTTTTCCCCCTGCCACTGTCACCCTCAGCCCACTTATTAATGTTAGGCTTTTAAATACTTTCATATCTCTAAGTTTCCGATTGAAGTTGAGATAAACTTGACAGAAAGCTGAATATAATAAAATTTGCTAAACTGTAGACATTTCATGTTAACATGTTTATACACACTGGACAGTCAACTGACAGATGTGGAGAAAGAGAGAAAAACTTTCAATCACAAACTGTCAAAGTTATTGTATTGAAACACATTTCCCATTAATATGACACCTACCTGCAGCTTGCATTCTTGTTATAACTGTCAATTCAATCATGTTATGACATATCCACAAACCCCCCCAGAAATGCAAATCGAGCATCAAGGGCAATTCAGTTTGACTAAGTATCTCATCCTTCTTTGATGAATTTGTGAAAATTAAAAATAGTCTATGACATCATATGGTAAACCCTTCCCGTCCTCATAGCCACATAAATATGAACAAGTTAATTTTTTTATGTTCACATACAGTATATTTGATATCCTCCACCAGACAGAACTGGAATTCATGTCATAGCTTTAATAAAACGATCTTTGAAATGAAGTGTGTGTGCCTGTCTGCATACCTGTGCATGTGCACCTTCTGTGTAAGTGTGTGTGCATGTGTATGTTAGTAAGTGTTTGTGAAATATCATATCTGGTTGGTAGTCAGCAGATCAAAAACCTTTGGTATTTATAGAAGCTCAGAGGTTGTTGAATAGAGTCACGTCTCATCGTGAATACAGCCAAAATGAGTGCATCCTACAGGTACACAGTTCTTTCTCTCTCTTTCTCCCTGTCACACACATAACCACACATATACATAATCCCATTCACTCAATATTACATACAAATATATGCACTTTCATATTTAAATCTAATGATGCTATGTCTAAATATATGTCACTTTGATTATGAGCTCATCTCAAAGCTGTAATCTTATCTTCTGATGTAAGTACAGAAAAAAGTTAGCACTCTGGCCACTGCAGCTGATAGTAGTGTTCTTCTCTAAGTCTACAAACCACCATATTTTTCCACAGTTTACTGTCACCCTTCCCTTCAAAGGGAAGGTAAATAGTTATAGCATTGCAGAGTTATGATGCATCAGCTATACTGAAAATCTCCCAGCATAGTTCTGGCATGGCAACTAGTCAGCTGGACACAAATCAGAGGAGGCATGTGGATAGAAACTATTTTGAGGCATGATTTCTGTCATTTTTATTTATTTGCTATATCTGCAACTGTATTCATGGTTTATGGTAGGGAACAAAAAATCTGAACTGTGTATGAATGACTGTTGGTTTGGGAACACAAAGAAACGTGTGTTTGAATTGCATTTACATTTATTAATTTGGCATATAATTTTCTCCAGCCCAAAGCCTTATCCACTGAACCTCCTGCCCAGTAGTGTGCAGGTAAGTTACACTGACTAACCACTATTAAGAACACCTGCTCATTCGTGCGGTGATTCAATTACCCAATGTGCCAGCAATGCACTGCATAAAATTATGCAGATACAGTTCAAGAGCTTCAGTTGATGGTGTTTGTTTAGTTAATTAACTTCAGTTAATATTAATGTTAACTCCTGTCAGCCTCGAACAGGAATCTGAAGTTACAGTGGGCACAGGCTCACCGAAACAATTAACAGCTAAAAAAAGAGACAAAGTGATGTTTTTCCCATCTTCAACTGTCCAGTTTCATTGAGTCTGTGCCCACTGTAGCCTCAGATAGCTGATCTTGGCTGACAGAAGTGGAACTATATGTGATTGTCTGCTATTGTAGCGCATTCACCTCAAGGTTCTTGTGATGTGCATTCACTGAGATGCTTTTAAGTTTGAACTCATCTATTCGATTCTACTTGCAGAATCACTATTCACTGGACGTATTATTATTATTATTAACCATCCATCCATCCATCTTCTACCGCTTATCCTTTTCAGGGTCACAGGGAACCTGGAGCCTATCCCAGGAATCATCGGGCACAAGGCGGGGTACACCCTGGACAGGGTGCCAGTCCATCGCAGGGCACAATCACATACACACTCACACACACATTCATATACTACAGACACTTTAGACATGCTAATCAGCCTACCATACATGTCTTTGGACTGGGGGAGGAAACCGGAGTACCTGGAGGAAACCCCAGCAGCACAGGGAGAACATGCAAACTCCACACACATATGGCCCCGGCAGGTATTGAACCCCGATCCCTGGAGGTGTGAGGCGAAAGTGCTAACCACTAAGCCACCATGTTGCCTTTATTATTATTATTATTATTATTATTATTATTATTATTACATTCTGTGTAAACTCTAGAGACTGTTGTGTGTGACAATTCCAGGAGATCAGCGGTTTCTGAAATACTCAAAATAGCCCTTCTGACATTAACAACCATGCCATGGTGAAATTTTCCCCATTAGATTTTACCCATTATGATATATGATGTGAACATTAATTGAAGCTCTTGACCTGTATCTATATGGCTTAATGCATTATATATATTATATATTCCTAATGAGAGTTAGTTGCAAACATTCACTGCATATGTTAATTCTTTTTTTCATGAGCTTATGAACCATTCCTTCTGTATAACATATTAAGCAACTAATCTGAGTGATTATTGGAGGTGTGTTTTATTTAGTATTATACAGCTTTACTTTTCTGTTTGATACAGTACCTGTGACAGACGCTTATCCTAATCCAAATACCATACAGTATAAATATGACAAAGAGATGCAATAGATACAAAAAAGTGATATTTCACTTTCCAAAATTTTATTTTCACAAAGATATTTGAATACATTTGGCTAAAAAAAAAGGTCTTGCCATATACATTCAGTGATTTTAGAAGAAGATACCTTAAGATAGCTGTTTTGAAACTCAAAATAAACCATGAATAGTCTCTCCCTTCAGTGTTCTCTCCAAAGCTGCATCCCCAAAACACACACATGCTACTTAGGCTAGAATGAGGTTTGCTGAATTAACAAGTAACATAATTTACAGACAAATATAGACATCTCCTTGACCTGATTGGTTGGACATTGGTTATCCATATCCATTCTCCCATTTACAGACCCTTGGATGCCACAGAGACCTGGGCTGCCATGAGGCTAACTTATAGCTAAATATTACATAAAGTGTACTGACATAAAAATCACTGACCCTACTGTTAAATATGACGTTGTAACTGGTACCATACACTATTGTTTTAATGTATAAATTTTTTTTTGTATAAATACTGAAAGTAGCATTGGTACCATACACTATTGTTTTAATGTATAAATATTTATTTTGTATAAATACTGAAAGTAACATTGCATAATTTGTATATGTTGTATGAGTGTGTAAAGAGGACGATTATTTCAGGGCTGTCTGGGTCGTGTTTTCATCTCCACACTTTTAAATGAGTATCTCTCCCCAGTTCGAGAGTCAGTGAGGATGAACCAGGTGCCCCAGTAAATGCCATCTGTGATACCAGTGTAGCGGCCACTGTAGTAACGTCCATTCAAATTGGCAGCGAAACAGGAATCGAACCACCAGCCTGCACCGTAGTACTGAGCACAGTTACCAGCTGCATACCGATCATGATCATGATCATATGTGCTGAAAGCTCTGCCATCATGGTTGTAGTGCTTACTATAGCTGAGGGCGTTACCAGCATTTCCTTGATAATTTTGTGCAGTCAGACGAAACCTGACAGATAAAAATAAAAAGAGCAGAAGTAGGTTGTAGGTTTACACAAACTTAATTTCTTATATGAAAATTGCATGTGTGTTCCTGAGTGCACTGGATTCATTAACATATGTATAATATGTGTTTCTTGTAATGCAAAAAAAAAAAATAATACTCTAATATTTTTCAACTCGATCTGTTTTATCATTTAACATACAACCCCAATTCCAAAAAGTTGGGACAGTATGGAAAATGCTAATACAAATAAAGAGGAGTGATTTGTAAATGTACTTTGACTTAAACAAAAAACGTATAAAGACAAGGTATTTGATGTTTTACCTAATCAGCTGCATAGTTTTTGGAAAGGAAACATTTATTTTGAAATTTATGCATGCAACACATTCCACAAAAGTTGGGACAGGGGCAATTTAGGACTTATAACAATGTCACAAGTTGAAAAAAGAAGGTGCTATGAAACAGTTGAGGTAATCATCTAATCATAGTATATAAAAAAAAAATTTCAAAACATTTAAAAAAATGCCTAGTCCTTCAAGAGCAAGGATGGGTCGAGGCTCGCCAATCATTCGCACAACAGCATGTGTCAGCAAATAATCCAACACTTTAAGAACAACACACACACACAATATAATTAAAAGATTCAAGATATGATCAAATCTCGGTGAGTAAA